GGCCATACTTGTGGGTCCCTTTGCAAGTTCCATAGGTTAATAAGCAAACGTGTTCCCTTTGACACATGGTACCCTGCCACACAACAATCCTCCATCACTTCCCTAATTCCGGTTAAGGGGGCTGGTGGGTACAAACGTAGGGTCTCTTTGATTATGGCATCAAGATAACTTAGCTTTTTTATGTCTGATTCTTCCACCCATCTTTCTTTTCCTACATGCTTATCCAATTCTTCTTGGGCTTTCTTTAGGACCTTTCCATGGTTTAGGAGTAAGGAGAGTGCCCATGTTAGTGTTATGGCTGTGCTTCCTGACCCAGTAAGAATAAGGAACTGCACCAAAAATTTATTCACTTAGAAAAAATTATCATTCTGAAAACATCTAGAACTTTGAGTAGAATGAGTCAAAAAAATAAAAATTTAGACAACTTCTTTAATTTAGAAACAAGTGTATGTCAAAAAGAGTTTTAATATATGCGCATATTATTGATATATATAATTATTAAATCATATGTCCTAGGATAAGAGTCATTATAATCAATAATAAAGTGACTAAGATTGTTATGAGTTATAGCAAGTTGTAAAACGATATAACATGTATACTTAAATTTTTTATTATTTTTTTTAAAGTTGTTATAGGATATAGTGACTTGTATTTTTATTTTTTCTGTGGCCATGGCTAATAACACCATTTTTTTATTTTTAAAAATATTAAAAAATTATTTTTATATATATATTTCATTTAGTTAAGATTATTTTTTAAAAATATGTAATATTAAAAAAATGAAAGTGTTTATTTTTAAAAAATTTGTATATTTATTAAAAAAAATCTTGCATATTTTTCAAAATTTTAAATAAATTATTTTTATTTATCAATTTTTTAAAAAATATATGAAAAAACAAAAAAATAAATAAATAAACAGAAAAGGAGGTGGGGTCACTAAGACTAACAACGACCTTCAAAAAAGAATAATTAAAAAACCCAAAGATTAAAACAAGAGTGATTATTTTTTAAATGTGTAATATTTTAAAAAAAAATGAAAATAATTTTTTTAAAACAATAATATATTTATTTAACAAATCTTACATATTTTTCAAAATTTAAAATATATTATATTTATTAATTAATTTTTAAAAATAAAGAAAAAAAAGCAAAAGAAAAATATAAAGAAAGAAAGAAAAAAAAAGAGGGATTACTATGATCATCGGTGACCCAAAAAAAAATTATATATAAAAAAAACCCAAAAATTGAAAAAAAAAAAAAAGTGATTTATTTTACAAATTTGTTATATTTTTTTTCATTTAATTAAGTTTATTTTTATAAATGTGGAATATTAAAAAATTGAAAGTGATTTATTTTATAAAATAATTAGTATATTTATTAAACAAATCTTATATAATTTTTTAATTTTTTTAAAAATAAATTATCTTTATTTTTAAAAAAATTAA